TGCCTAGCTATTTTGCGCAATTTTCATTTTCATTTTGTCTCATCTGCGAAAAGATACATCGACTTCAGATACATCGGGCCAGAAATAAAACCGCTTTCGGTACCTGAGGTGAGACGTCGGTGTTTGACCAAGAACTCGTTCCAAGCGTTCCGCTTCAACAGAGGATAGCCATATTAGTATTAACGTCGATCACATCAAATCCGTTTCTACAATACGGCACTTCTCGCCCCATGTGACGAGGATCCACGATAACACAATTTAAATTTGCATATTATCGTGACTTAACGTGCAGATCATTATTTGTCGTACGGTAATACATCGCGGGCGGCAGGAGGCATCACTGCATTCATTTTAAGTATCTTCGTTGTAAACGTGCATTTCTGTACGTCGCCTTTTGACCATGAACGCCATCGTGGTGCACAGCCTTCGACGCCTTCTGCTCTTCACTTCACCCAATGAGGTGATTACTGATTTCTTATCGTTTTGTTTTGCTTGCAGTACTCCTCGGTTTCGCCTTTTTGTAGTCCTTGATCTGCTCCGCCAGCCTCATAAACCTGAGCCGACATTTTGCCTCACAGTCCGCAGGTAAATATACTTTTGTACACTGTTTCCGGTTTCCGATTGTGTTTTCGCTTTGGTTTAAGACAATGCGGACGTGGTAGTGATCGGAAGTGGGCCTGGAGGATACGTGGCTGCCATCAAGGCTGCTCAGCTAGGCATGAAGGTAAACTGCTTGCTGTTTTATATACTGATTTACACATTTCTTTTCCGTAAGGTACTGTCTTATGTTATAAGTTTGGGCAGATGGAAACTAGTCAGTCAGTCAATCAATCACTGATAAAAAAAGTTCACGGCTTAAGCTAACGGGAATATAGCAAGTAATGCTGGCACCTACTAGTCGCCTATCGATATGACGTCACAACAACCGTATGCGAATATATATATGTATTTCTATTTCTATTTCTGTTTTGGAGAGATTACTTGAATTCTTTATGCAGATGAAAAGTTCTTTGTCACCAAGGTCCTCAAAGCCTGTACTCTGGTAATTTATGCACGAAGTAAACAGTTTCGTCAGTCGGATGAGTGACCATTACCGACGTTTCGGTCGGTATCTCATGGGTTTTCTTCAAGGTATATGAGAGGATATATTGGAATTCTTTTTGTCGTTCGCAGCAGAATTAATACCTTGGAAACCGGATGGCCAACATCCGCAGCTCACTCACTTCTTTACCCTGAAGAGGGCCCGTGAGGCATCGGCCGAAGCGTCGGTACTGGTCCCTCCTCGACTAACGAAATTGTTTCCGTTTTATGTATAAAAAAAACATGTTTTGTGTTGCCTTCAGGAAGATCAACCTATGCAGCAACGAAATGCTCAATTTTTGCCTTGAAATTTTATTTTGTATTTGGCCATCGTCAATCTTTCGCTGTGTTCAGCTGTTCACTTTAAAGAAGAATATCTCCATGAAACTCAAAATTTTCATCCAAATTCTGATTAACACAGTTTTGCAAATGTGTCATTAGCACACTTATTACACTAGCATAAAAATTCGCATTTCAGTCAGTAAACTGCGGCAGGCTATTTTCATTGTCTCTCTGCTCCCAAAAGGTTTTTTCGTTTAAAGAATTTGTCTAAAAGGTGAATGAATTGATGGGCTGTTCGCGAGATATATGAAGATGTGATATATGGTAGATCAAGTAGAACTTCGACGCCTAACCCGTCCAATTTTTGCATGGTCATTCTTGTATGCAGCCTGATGTTGTGGTGCAGAAGAAAGTGACCGTTTCTCTTGACTAGCGCTGGTTTCAGTGTTTCAGTTTCTGATATACCCTTTCCTATATTTCGCAGTAAATTGAACATTTTGAATTGAGTTTGATGTACCTGCAAAATCAAAGAACTGTGACTTTAACAAAGATCGTTGTTATTTGATGCCATTGTTGATTCGAAGATGCACCAAGCTCGATCCGAAACATCGGCAGTGGGTTAAAGATAATCTGTATGTGGCGTGGATGGTACGAATACCAGTCAAAACCCACGACAGAAAAGCAACAGCAAAAGGTGCAGAAAATTATTCCTCTGTATAGTCTTCATATTTTAATAGCTGAAATGTAAATATGTATATTTGCAAGACAAGAGTCCAGGCCATCTCTTTTAAATTGACGTTTACACCTTGAGCTGATTTTTCATATGCTATCATGTAGGTCAAGGCGAATTGAAGTTGGAAGGCCTGACATGACCATATGTTTCGCAAATTTTGGCATTACCGCACGAAAACACTTAATATTCGCAGGTCAGTGACCTGCTGCCATTTTTTGGTCTTGTTTCACCGAAGCACAGTGGGGTGATTTCTTTGGTCAAGGGAAATTGTTGTTAATATGACAATTTTTACATCGCACATGAAGTTTGTACCCGGCATTACTAATGTGCAAATCAAACCACTGGCCCGTTGCAGGGCTTCAATAAATTTGTCAACTTTTTTTTCTACTTTAGTTCGTTCATATCCAGACATTGTAGGAGAATATATTGCATGGGTGATGAGTATCGATTAAATATCTGTTTCGCAAAAATCCCCAATATTTTTACTTTATTGGTTCCACTGGCATATAATAAGATATTGTATGCAGTGCAGTGTTCTATTTTGTTGAATCTGAATTTCCTATTTGTAGAGTAGATTGTATACTCTAATCCACTGACTTCTATGATAACCATCCTATTTGACCTATCTTTGAGGCATCATACAAAAGCATTGTGGCAAAATTCAGGCTCCTTGAAACAGCATCTTGGCTTTAAGAACGGTAGCGTTTTTGCAAGATAATTTTTTCATAGAACCGGGTTTCCGTTGGCTTGCTCTGTTCTTGTCTTAAATTGGAATTATTCAATCGATAAAACTCCGAGTTTGTATGACGCCCCTTTCTTGAAAGAGGTTGCCGGAAGAGATTAACAAAGTTAGATGCTAATCTTTGGGTTCATAAGCCAACTGATGGTCTCTCTTACGAGGTCTTACATGCCAGTTACCTTCCAATCGATATTCTTGGCGAAACTTTTCAATGTTTTGTATATGCATTAAATTTCGTTTTAAAAAGAAGATATTTTCAGATGTGCCGAGATACTTTGCATGGTCACCGTAAATACCATATCCTAAATTTAAACCGTATTTTAACTCTCCGTGGTCTTCTTCTGTTTATCATCCTGTAATGCTCGTATTCTAGCAAATCGCATTGTAATGCCTGATGAAAGTGCATTAAAGCCGTCGACTGAGTGTGGAATTTTCGGCTGTGCATTAACGTAGGTATCTGTTTAACCCAACCGGTGTCAGAGTTGTCTTTTGCAAGGTGTTCTGTCAGACCTGTTTTCTTTAAAGAATTTTATTCAGTATTATTAACGAGATGAGTTTGTACTCAATAGATTAGCATTTTATGATGCATGATTAGTTAAAAACTTGTAATTGTAATTTTTAAATTTTCAATTCCTGCTTTTGAAAAGGCGATATCTGGTGCAATATTTGCCTTGTTTAACAACCTTCGGCTGACCTCTGCTTCCTGTTCTACAATTTAATGAATCAATGGCTGTATTTTGCTACTTGAATATGTGAAATATTTATATATCTTTTGACCTAACGGAACAATGAAACAGAAAACAAAGCGCATAATTACACGTTGAGCATTAGGCAAATTAAATAGCTCTTTGCATCGTATATCAGTAAGTAACAATAGATCCTTCGTTTTGCGCGCCAAGGCAGGGATGAATGAATTTTTTCTCATACCTGCTTGACTGTATATGTTCACTACGTTCGATGTTATGCAAAGCTGTAACGCTATCAAGACGATGGAGTCTGATTAAGCGGATGGTGCCATTAGAGGTGATACTGGACCCATGTGTTTTCAAGTTTTAGGGTGCATTTTACTGATTAATTGATCTGAAGTTCAAACTTGAAGCAGTCACGACTTAATTGGCCGGTGCAGAATGCCAAGGTCGGTTTTGAAAACTCTAAGAAAGGAGATAGATATGATGTAATTAAAAAATTAAGAACGTAGGATTTGATGAACAGGTATACAGTGAATTTTACAGCAACACGCGTCTCATGAATAATCAGCTACACATTTTCGAACCAAGAGAAACCGTGAGACAAAGCAACCCTGTATATTTCCTAGAGTTTGCATGTTTAACTCAATTATTATCAATTTTCGTGGAAGAAAGATTGTGTGGTTATATGCTCAGAGGATATTTTCTGTTATCTGAATGTCATGTCGCTTTACACATTTCAAAAGTAAGCAGCAGCAGTTTACCAGTTGAACTTCTAACGAAGCTGTTTGATGTGGTGATTGTCGTTTCGATTACCGTATTTGAAAAGGCATGATGGAGCGGTGAACTTCAGGTCGCAAATGTAGAAGTAGAGAGGAGATAACACGGCGCCTTGCTGCATGTAAGGGGGTTGTTTGGAGAATTGGACCTGAGAATAAATGACAACAAATTATTTTTTGCTTTTAAAATAGTCGCCATTTAGTTTAACGAAGTTTCCATTCATTTACCATATTTCGATCTAATTTTAGTATAGATAATTTATTCAGAAACTTTGGTAGATTTTTAATGATTGGTCACTCTTCCAGGTTTAGGAGCATCACAGAAATATATAAACCACGCTCTACTTTCATTGACCTGGCATAAACTACGCCGAAAAGAACTCTCAAATGATTCTGTTACTACAGTAAATTTAGGCTGAAAATCCCTAGAAAATCACCGTTTTTTTTCAATAATTTTCAACTATGATTTAGATGCAATCATCACTATCATCAGCCTTGGTCGATCTACTGCTGGAGGAAGACCTCTCCAAGACATCACGATAAACTTGTGTTTTCTGTTATTTTCATCTATGATCCGAACGAACTTCTTCAGATCGTCTTGCCTTCGATTTGGAGGTCTTCTTGGCACTGAAAGCACATACTGCTCGAAAACTTTCTTCTTGAAGCACAGAAGCGGTTTCAAGGATACGAGCATTTTCAGTCTACTAAGAGTGCTCAGTGCCATTATTTTTATTTTTATGTTGATTTCATACTGTCGATTGCCTATCGCAGAGATACGCTGTCTCAGTTCGACATAGATTAGCAATTCTTCAGACCTGAGTTGACTTCAGCAAGTCGCGGGATCGCTTATTTGTTAAATACAGCCTTGTTTTCTTCCAGTTCATTTTCAGTAATGCATTAACACTGGCGACGTTTGCCTCTTGGATTCTCCTCTCGAGTTCTTTTGACTGGTGAGAAGATCAAAATGTTGTCCATGATCTTCTAATGTCTTGAATAGTGTTCAATCGTTGATTTTTTCAACGTAGTGTTTTGAAAACCTCTTCCATGACTCCTTTCAATATAATCAGTGATATTAAGTGTCCCTCAATTTTGAACGTGCTTTTGCTCAAATTTAGTGCTAGCGGTTGCAGTATTGTAAATCATGGCGATAAAGTCGCTGTATCTTTTTTCGAGTGCCTGGTTCCTCCTGGAATCCGACACTGAACGGATGTAGTCGAAATCCTTCTGGAAATCGACGAACTTAATTCAAAGAAGAAGCTGAAATTCGTTGCTTGGCCGAAATGCTTGTCATAGAACTTGACGATCATCCAGCTTACTAAATCTACTTCTGAACCTTTCTTCTTCGTTTGGCTGTGCAGAGCTCCATTTTTTCTGAAGTCTGTTTGACAGTCACCATGAAGATCTTGGAGGTGGTTGATGGAAATTGACCGCTTAATAGTTTTTCAGGTCATCTACGTTTTCCTTTTGTGGAGTAGAATCACTGATGTAGTGATCCAATCGTGTGAAATTTTTATTTCCTTCAGAGAGTTTGAAAATAGTCGCACTAATGCTTTGGACATTGTTCCCTTATTCCAAGAGTTATGCTGCAGTTTCATCCTCCAGGAACTCTTCCTTGCTTTGAATGTTTTGTTGCTGGTCGAACATCTTCTGGCAAGACGTGTGGAAATTGGTCAACTTCGTTTATATCTTCAGCTTTCCTATAGACACTAACGTTGTTACTGTTTTCTTCTTAATATAGTTTTTATAAAAGTAATCCACTCCCTTTAGAATTTGTTGTCTGCTGCTTTGAGGGATAAAATGTCTTTAACTTACTGCGTCCTTCGATTGTTCTCAATAGTTTCCTTTACCAATAACGTTAAATGTTCCGTCTTCTTCGTTTATGCATTTCCTTAAAGTTTCGTAAAGTTTCACATCGTATAGCTACAGTCATATAAATAAATTATTTATTAAATATGGAGTGCATGTTCTTATTCTGATTGCTACACGTTTGAGCATATTGCTTTTTAGGGTGACAAGATCCTGTTTAAGGTTTAACTGGGCTATACATTCTTGTCATTGTGCTTTTAAATAACTGTGAAATTGCGTTATTTCAATCGTATCAGGCAAAAGTGAGGAGTATTCGCTTTCCTTTTACCATAATGCTGCAATATATTTTTGTATATGCTTATATGACTGTTTATGTTCTACGTTCGTGTAATTTGTAGTTTTTGTTTTTTAATTTGTTTCTTCTGCCGTCTTTCTTTAAGAATCCTATTCCAATATCAGTCATTCTGATTCCTTAATGTCTTACTTAATGACTTACTCATCCTTGATCATCACTGTTTTTGCTTTCCCTTCACTTCGATTACATCGCAGTGTTGATCACAGCTTCAGTGCCATCATCCCATTGTCTTGTTCTGCGGACTTGTTTTTTAAGGCGATATCGACAGCTAATCGGTCAGCACGATCTGTAAGCATTCTACCTTGCACAGTGGTACACAGTTGTTTACTTTACTCAGCTGGATGATAGCCAAATGATTTAGATGGAGCTGAAACACTCTCTCTTTCGACTGCGAACATGGCTCTCTGCTGATTGATTTGCACTGGGCACAAAGTAAAGCTGTAAAGTAAATAGTTTTATAAGATAACTGCCTTACAAACACTTATGACATAGGTGAAGAGTCATTTATCATAAATATAGATGTTTGCTACGAAGACATCCTTCTCAAATGAATTTTCTTGCTTCCTCGGACTCATTTCACCTCTGTCTCGCCCTTGGCATCTTAAACAAGAGTTGGCTTTATGAATTTTCAGTTCTTCAAAATCAGGGTCTGGTGAAAGTAACTGACTGGTTGTATTTGTTTCGATTATTGGTTGAAGAACGGAATTCGAGTTGTTATGTTTTGCTTTATTTTTTAGACCGTCTGTGTCGAGAAGGATAATACCCTGGGTGGAACATGTCTGAATGTTGGTTGCATTCCTTCAAAGGCTCTGCTAAACAATTCTTACATTTATTATTCCGCCAAAACCGGTCGTTTTGCAAAACACGGTACACGTTTAGCCGGTGATCAGAAAATGTGTTAAACTAATTTGAGGTTCTTTAACATAGGAGTCGAAGGTACATTCAGTCTGAATCTAGAGAAAATGATGGAACAGAAGAGAACGGCCGTTAAACAACTGACCGGTGGTGTTGCCGCGTTGTTTCGCAGCAACAAGGTGACTCATGTTAAGGGTTTCGGAACGATCACCGGTGCCAACGAGGTAACCGTGTCGAAAACCGACGGCTCTAAGCAAAAGCTGAATACGAAAAACATCATAATCGCCACCGGTTCCGAAGTGACGCCTTTTCCTGGTATCGAAATCGACGAGAAGCAGGTTGTCAGTTCTACCGGCGCCCTGTCTTTGGATGGCGTTCCAAAAAAGATGGTCGTCATAGGCGCGGGTGTTATTGGCGTTGAACTGGTATGAATAGTGTTTTTCTCAGTTGGGCCGTTGAAAACACTGGTTGCCTATTTTTAATGGTAATGGTGCTGTTTAGGGTTCGGTGTGGAACAGACTTGGCGCTCAAGTGACCGCGGTAGAATATTTGGGACATATTGGCGGCTTCGGAATTGACATGGAGGTTTCCAAGCAGTTCCAACGATTGCTTGTTAAGGAGGGCTTCCGTTTTTTGCTGGACAGCAAAGTGACCGCTGCGAAAAAAGGTGCTGACGGCAACATCACCGTCTCTGTCGAGTCGGTCAAAAACCCGTCGAAGACAGAACAACTGGTTTGCGATGTGTTGTTAGTGTCTATCGGACGGCGGCCGTACACAGTTAATCTTGGTCTCGAGAACGTGAACATTCAGCTGGACAGTCGGGGACGAATCCCGGTTAAGGAGCGTTTCCAGACCACGGTTCCAAAGTATATTGTTTTTATGTCGAATTATACCTTTTTCTGCTGAATCGAAACATGCATTTTAAGTATCTACGCCATCGGCGACTGTATTCCAGGTCCGATGCTAGCGCATAAAGCGGAGGATGATGCGGTGGCGTGTGTCGAAGGCATCGCTGGGGGCGCTGTTCACGTCAACTATGGTTCCGTGCCGTCAGTCATCTACACTCATCCCGAGATCGCATGGGTGGGCAAGTCGGAAGAGGACTTGAAAAACGAGGTGTGCTTCGAAGGGTGTTTTGGCTTCATGTTATACTCCTGAATTTCGAAACTTTGCGTTCGTTTCAGGGCATCGCCTATAAAGTCGGAAAATTCCCATTTGTCGCCAACAGTCGCGCAAAGACGATGGACGATGTGGAAGGCTTTGTGAAGGTCCTTGGCGACAAGAAGACCGACCGTGTGCTCGGAACCCACATTATCGGTTCGAACGCCAGCGAAATGATTGCCGAAGCGGTTATCGCCATTGAATACGGCGCCTCCTGTGAGGACATGGCCAGGGTTTGCCATGCACATCCGGTACGTTGGTTTCTCTTTACTGAAAGGCGTTGGTTTTTGCTGGACTCTTCCACTCCACTGTTTGTTCGCGTTCAAAAATGGAAGGAATAAAAAAACCGTCAGTGTTGCTTACACCTTCATGATGGACAACGTTTTCTTTCTCGACATTCATAATGCGAAACTTAAACTTCATTTTCTTACCATAAGCGCGAAGATTTTTGTTGGCCCTGCGAATACAAGCGATGCGTATTGTCTTTCATTGAAGTGATGCACACTAATTTGTTTGAAAACGATGAAGAACTAGCGATCCGAATCGGTATCCTACTATTATCCTTAATCGTGGTCCCAAGTGATTTAGTCTAATTTGATAAAATAACTCGTTTGCTGTTTAGGTTAAAGTTAAGCGCTGTCGAATAAAAGATAATATTTTAGCCCCCTTTTTAAATCTTCTCGTAAAAGAATATCTGGAAATTTCATCATAAACCTAGTTTTTAGAATTCAGTGAATGTGTCCTTTCTTATTGGCCCAAAAACTGCTTCGTGACTCAAATTTTACTGTCTTCTGTCATTAGCTATCAGTTTCTTTTGCAAAGTAGCATAAAAGAATGATACCGTTTAATCATAATGTTGTGGCGTTTGTATTACTCAGCTCTATACAGAGAAGCTTGTTTTGATAATGCTGAAACGTACTGCTGTTTTACAACATGTTGTTGTTTAAGTGATTTCTAGCCATTGACCGCTGCATTATTATTTTTTTCTTGGTCGGTTTTTTTTGATACTCCAAAAAGATTTGCCT